GAGCTCTGCAGCTGAGCGTGACGTCCGCCTGACGACAGCCGAGCAGCGGAGCCAACATCCTGCAGCAGCAGACGTGACGTCATGAGAGCTGTGTGTGTGTGTGTGTGTGTGTGTGTGTGTGTGTGTGTGTGTGTGTGTGTGTGTGTGTGTGTGTGTGTGTGTGTGTGTGTGTGTGTGTCGCGTCGCAGGAGTGAGGCAGTTGTTTAGTTACTGTGTGGGTGTGTGACGTGGGTGTGTAGCAGTTATGAGAAAAGTTTAGTTAAGGCATGTGTGTTTGTGTACCTGTGTGTGTGTGTGTCTCTGCTGCAGTGAAATACATTGTTTAGTTAGAGTGTGTGTGAGCGTGTGTCTCGCGGCAGTGAGGCAGTTGTTTAGTTAGGGAGTGTGTGTGTCAGACAGAGGAGCGTCAGAGCTCATTAAATATCCGTTCACTGACTATGCTATTGACGCCACAGTCTCCATGGCAACTGGCTCAACAGAACTTCAGTACAAATCTGCAGCCAGCAGCTTTATTATGACTGTCGCCATGGCCACACGGTTCGCTACACATTTATGATCCATGCAAAAGCACCAAGGATGAAACAGGAAAACTAGGGACACACACACACGCATCATTTTCCGGGTGTGATCAGGAATGAATGAAGAGGACAAAATACAACAACAAATCGCCCTTTTCAACCTCAGACCCACACAAACTAAAGTGAAGAATTATAAATCATCTTTTAAACATCGCTGTTTAAAGAGGCCCTATTAGTCTTTTGTGCCAATGGTCTGCAAAAGGCTAAGACTCCTGTGTAATCATCATGTTCCTCTCGCTAGTGGCTGCCACATGGTAGTAAAATGCAGAGCACCGATCAGGTGTTTGGTTTAATACCACACACAGGGTTGGCTGTTTCTTTGCACAGCACCCCAACGCTCGCTTACATATCCATGTTTGCATTTTCCCTGCATCTGAGAGCCATGAGCATTAAGCCAATTGCTCTGATCCATGCTCCTCTCAGCTTGTTTACCCTCTCTCTCTCTCTCCATAATTGATGTAGTCTCTCCTAGTGCCTCCTAATGTGTGAATTAAGCTGTATACCAAGTTGTAGAAGCGTACAGTATTTATTGTTTGACTAATAAGCACTGCAAACTCCATACTAATAGTTTGTGGGCCAGGGCAGGGACTCTTCTAGCACCTGGAAAATAAGCTAAATCGAGTCGTCGGGTTGAGAGGACCTGAAATGGTTTGTGTATCTTTCAGCTCAATAAGCTCCTGGCCTCCTCCCTCTTCTACCTGTGCCTCAGGGTCCTCACCTGGAGCTGCAGGGTGACCTTTCCGGCCTCGCTGTTGGTGTGTGTGTGAGGGAGCAGTCCGTTGTGTTCCTGCTGCTGTGTCTCTCTGCTGCTCGGCTGCTGGCCCGTCCTCTGGAGCATGTCCTTCACCACCTTCACCTTCAGACGGCTGCGCAGAGTAATGGCTGCATTGCCTGAAGTCCAAACACAGACATACTGACACCATAAGCACTCACGTGGCATTCAAATACACACTATTCTCAGTCTGTAGTGATATATATAATTAGGTATAGCACTGTCCATACTGTGTATACATAGGTGTCATTTACACTGGGGACACTTTTTTTAAATTGGATTGCATTGTCTTAAAACGTAACGTTAGCTCAATGATACATCTCAACCCATACTATATGTTATACCTTACTGCATATAAATCATATTATCTCACTATTTAACACATACTACATAGGTAAACATACTCTGGTTAGGTGCTAAACTGACTTATGTTGTCTCATTTTCTTCAATGACAATGAAGTTAAATCTAATCTCCTCTGATTTGTGTCATGAGCATGATTTACTTCTAGGTTTGAGCTTTCAGGAAATGAGCGTTTACATCCACATCGGTTCACGTTTCATGGAATGCTCTTCTCTACCTTCAAACACTTTGGCCACTTCGGTCTTGTACGACTCGAATTTGAAGGGCGTCAGGAAACCCAGAGAGCCGAGGTGGAACGCCATGACCGGAGGCACGCTGCCCTGCAGGAAGAATATCAGTCCAGACATCAACATCAGATCACTCGTGCAATTTCTGTGGCTTACGTTTTTTTACTTTTAAAGAGCTGAGGAAATATTGTGTTCTAAAATATGTTTCATATGGAGAGTGAAAGCACGAGTCAAGGACATAGACATCATGAATGTATGTATTCTGTATGTATGTATATTTCTTCATTTATTTATGTTTGAAGTATAAAATGTTTAAGACATCTGACTTCATCAATCAAAGAGTGATTACCTGGAAGAGAGAGGAGGCGTAGAGCAGAGTCCCGTCTCCACCCAGACAGATGATCAGGTCGATGCAGTCAGAGATATCATCGTAACCTGAAACAAAAAACACATATATAATCAACAAATCATTTTCTATTTACCGACACTATAGTATGCTCAAAATCTGATTTATTTCATGAATGTACTCTAAAAGTTCTTGTTTCAGAAGTCAGATAGCATATGTGTGTTGCCAGTTGTGCATAATACATTTCATTTAATCTAAGAGTGTAAGAGGAGCAACATAAGACAATTAAAGACCGTAGTTCATTATTTTCTATAGATGAGAGTGACACCTACGTCACTTCCGGGCGAAAGATTAAGGCCCCGCCCACTTTTGGGGGAAAACAACGCTGTCATTTGAATGGCGGTCAATACAAATTCTGAAGTTTTTGCCAATCCGATCAGAAATGTATGAAAACCGTTGATTTTTGGATCTTCAAAGAGCCTGATTACGATGGCCAGTCAGGCAAACAATTACATGAAATCATTGGAAATCGACAATCGGGCTCGATATATGGTTACATTAAAATCAGTAGGCGAGGCTGTAATTTTCGCCCGCTGTTACTCTCATGAGCGAGGCGGAAAATAATAGTTTTATTACGCCAGAAAGCTGCTGTGTCGTTTATTGCACGTCAAACATTAAAACGGATCCAGAGTTCCGTGTTTCTGTACTTCCTCTATGAAGAAAGGATAGTAAAAGAAGAGCTCTGTGGCTTCAGGCTCGATCGCCATTCAAATGACAGCGTTGGTTTCCCCCAAAAGTGGGCAGGCTCGTAAAGTGACATAGATGTTACTCTCATCTATGGACATCGATCGCCTACTGCTATATTTAACTATATATCGAGCCCGATCTTGGCTCTTTGAAGATCCAAAACTCCNGGGGAAAACAACGCCGTCATTTGAATGGCGGTCAATACAAATTCTGAAGTTTTTGCCAATCCGATCAGACATCCTCAAAGAACCAGGTTACGATGGCCAGACAAGCAAACAATTACATTCAATCATTTGAAATCGACAATCGGGCTCGATATATGGTTAAATTAAAATCAGTAGGCGAGGCTGTAATTTTCGCCGGCTGTTACTCTCATGAGCGAGGCGGAAAATAATAGTTGTATCATGCCAACAAGCTGCTCTGTTGTTTATTGCACCTCAAACATTGAAAACAAATCCAGAGTTACGTGTTTCTGTACTTCCTCTAAGAACAAAGGAAAGAAGAGCTCTGTGGCTTCAGGCCTGATCGCCATTCAAATGACAGCGTTGTTTCCCCCAAAGGTGGGCGGGGCCGTAAAGTGATGTAGATGTTACTCTCATCTATGGACATCGATCGCCTACTGCTATATTTAACTATATATCGAGCCCGATCTTGGCTCTTTGAAGATCCAAAACTCCACGGTTTTCTTAAATTTCTGATCAGATTGGCAAAAACTTCAGAATTTACATTGACCACCATTCAAATTACAGCTTTGATTTCCCCCAAAAGTGGGCGGAGCCATACTTTTTGCCCGGAAGTGTTACTCTCATGTATAGTATTTATACAATCTAACTACATTTTGGCTGCACAAGTAGAAATAAAAAAAATAGCTTATCTTATTAATATGTATATTTGTATTTACTATTATTATCACTATCAATGTATTTATTTCATGTTTTTTTTACTCCTTTCATTTCTTTGATTAATGACATTTATGAAGGTGACATGAATAAATAAAAAAAGTGACAAAACTAATAATGTAAATAAATGCAATAAAATAGCAAAAAAGTACATTATTATAAAAGTGCTTTTATTTAATTTTTGTTTTTATTTTAACGTTTATATAATTTCTATTTTTTTTTTAATCACATTAAAACAGACGACTAGGTATTCATAGTAAATAAAAATCATAATATTTATATAAATTACCTACTTTATTAAACTGGTTGTGTTATACTGTGTATACTGTGTGTGTTGGTTACTGTGGGGCCTCACCCTCTCTGAAGGTGCAGAGCTGGTTGCGGATGGATCCGAACGCCTCGTCCTTCGACAGCGTAGCGTCGTCTGCTACTCTGCGCTCCACGTACACCATCATCTGTTTCTCCTGAAACTCACACACACACACGCGCGCGCTTTAGTGACGGCAGCCAAAACACACACAGACATCTCCAAAAAGCCCTGTTTCTGTGATGAAGTTAAGCACAGGGCAACATGTGTGCTTTGATGTGACGCCGCCTGTCTGGAATGTAAATACATGAGCTCGCTCTGACAGAGAGCCGCTTGTTTTGGAAATGAGTGTTCTAACTCATCAGACCAGACTGTAACCTTTACCTACATGTGTGGATCATTTCCTGGGTTGTTTTTCTAAGAGTTAGATCATTTTTCAGTTCACATGGGAACAGTTGTCTGGCAATACTGGGGTTTGCAACGTCCTTTCGATATGCCCCGTTTCACAAACAGCTGTTAATGTTGCACACACACACAATAACACTTGATCGTTTGAACCAGACCGTTTTGTCAGCTCATGCTGTCTTTGTTGTCAGCTGTAGCATGCTAGTCGGCTAAGCTTTTATTTTGTAAATCTGGTTGTTATGTGGTCATTTTAATATACCATAGACATGACATGAAACGTAGAGGAATTGTTCCAAGATTTCTACGGAAAAAAGCCAGTGTGCGAGATTAGCTACAAGATAAGCTTTATGGTACCTTCTTCTTAGTGATTGTCAGTAAAACATGGTCAGCTGCCCATGTTATGAATTGCTATTGTTATGAATGATCTTGCTGGCCCTTATAAACCGTTGGGCTTTTAAATACTTGTTAAGATCTGCAGGAACCCTGAAACTCTACTTTGTGTGTCTATAATTTCTTCAGAGCATCAGTTTACTTTGTTTAATCTATTTTCATTTTTGTCATGTTGCTGCAGATGTCTCAGAAAGGTTAATTAACTTTTTTGTCATCACCACAATCTTCCTTGCAGCTTTGGTAGATCAAAGTCGAGCTGTTTTTATCTCTTTTTTGATGAAGAAGTAATTACAGTTTGAGTTTAGTGTTATTTGAAATTGAAAAATGATGCGTTGCTAAGGTTTTATACTGCCCCAAAGTGAAACTAAAAATCAGTTTTCATTTTAGTTTAAGATCCCAAAGTCCGCCTCTGCAATAACACATTATCATAAAACATGAATCTTGTAAAAAATACTAGGAGATATTTTGTAATCCAGTACCTCCACTAGAAACCTGCAGAGCTCTTTGAAAGGCTCGACGAGGCTCTCATCTCTGATTTTCCTGATGACAAGAACGTTGACAGGAGGTTTGTTCCAGGTGAGCCGCTGGCTGGCCGGGTCCTGGATGTGCCTGAGACCAGAAAACACACATACACATGAGTACACAAACACTCGGTGTCAGTGTCAATACGTTAGACACAGAAACAGACCAAAAAGTTGACTGTTGTCTTGCTACTTTAAGCTAGTTTGCTAGATCCTGATGATTTTCAAATAAAGTCAAATGCCACCATGTCTTACATCATGTTCTGAGTAAAGTAAAAGATACATCTACAGCGGCAGTTATTCATTAACAGCTTAGGAGGAGTGAGGTCCAAACTCCAAACATCAGACCATGAATTTCTTCCGCTCTTTACCATTTGTGTCTGTCCTCCTTTGCATGGCTGATCACAGGCTTTGTGCGGATAATTCCATATGTCTGATTTCAGATCAAGTCCAGGTAAACACTCGTTAGACCAGGTGAAAACTAGCATCTGTCGTCTGTTCTGTTCTGTTAGCCACCCAATAACAGCAATCTCAATGATCTTATCTCTCAGTTACATAATCTTGTCTGTGTGAACACTATACAAAGTTCGACCCTCATGCTTACATGACTGAAGTTGGGTTGGGAAGAATACAGGCTTTGGGTCCGAAGTGAGTGGCTGGATACGGTCCATGTAGAAAGTGGGCTCTCCTGTGAGGATGGAGGAAAAAAATGAGGACAGGTCAACAGCTCACGTCCCGGGCAACAGAGCTGTGGCAGAGGCACGGCCGACCAGCTGGCAACCTGCAGTGCAAACCTCTTAGGAGAGCTTTCCGCTGTGTCGCTCGTTGAGCCAGAGGGCTCCAGGTGCTCCTGTTGGCCCGGCAACCTCAGCCGCTCACTCTCCCACAGCAGCTGTTCATGACCGGCCCCCCGTTGCTGTGACCTTGTCCCCTTATGCCGTCTCCTTGGTGACTTGGGCGGGTGCTCCCGGTGCTTGGAGGGCTGATTATGGGATGCTGAGGGTCGCTCCGTGCCTCTGTCCGGCGCTGCAAGGGGCCCCAGCGATGGGCCGGACTCTGAGCTCTCCATGCTTCAGGGAAGCTACACAGAATCAACTGTTGTAAGATGTTTTGACAACTCAAAGAGAAACAACTGAGAGGATTATATAAAGATTTTTAAAAGGGCAAGTCCGATTTGTCAAAGTGGGGGTGTCAAGGTACTCCACAGAAAGTGGAGTAAAGAGAAGATGTTGGTCAACCCCGTTTTGGAGAAGCAGACAGGAGTACCAGCTGAACTTTGGGGTTTTAAAGTTCAGAATTAACAAAGTCTCACAATAACACAACTACAATCTAACTGATTGAAGAAGGAGTAGACCAAAATCTGCTCTGATCTTCAAAGCTAAATTGTTTTTTTGTCAAAGGTGTCTTTGGACAGCATTGATAACAGCTTCAGTTCCCCGTTATGAAACGGCCTTCTAACATAATAACTAATATATATATAATGTAACGTCCACAGAAGTAAACTGTTTTGCTCCTGTGCTGGTACTACTGTCTGTTTCTCCAAACTGGGGGGTGCCGACCGTCATCTACTGTAGACAACACAATACAATCACTTAAAGGATAGTAGACGTAAATACTGTATAACTTGTCAGAGGAGCATTTTTGTATATTTACTGCTGGTCAGACAAAATAACCGCTTTGAAGATATCACCTGGGCTCTGGAAGAAATATATACTGGGCATTTTCAGTATTTTCTGACATTTGATATACTTAATGATCAGTAAATAACTTGGGGGGAAAAGTGCAGCTTAACTGGCCATTAACATAACTATAATTTGCATCCCTATACTATAATAAATAACCTATAAGATGTATTATTGATAGGCTAACATTGTTTCACACTGGTGAATACTGGATGAGTTGTGTTTGTCACCTTTGGGTTCATAAGGGTTGATGTTTGTCCTAGAGGAAAAAGTCGATGTATTAATCATTAAAGCTGTTAGTAAAGCAGTGCTCCAGCAAACAGTCTATTGATCTGCTTATACGGTTTATGGAAAACAGTCGAACATAACTTGAAGTATCGACCAAAATAAATCAAAACAGCGGCGTAAACTAACAAGGGCCATAACCAGTTATTAATTTCAGCATTTAATTAATTGCAGATAGTTATTTTTTAAATTAACATTCCAAGTGATATTTTTTTGCCAGTCCAAAATCGAAAAATCTTCAGAATAATAATAAAACAGAGAGAATATTTCTATATTTGAGAGACATGTATGTAGCACTTTCTGCCAATTTCGCATCCTATAATATATCAAATATCTACGCACTACATTTTAGTATTAACATGATGTGTACACAATAATTAAAATAAAATACAAACGTGTTTTCTTTCCAATTTTTGATAAACAGTTTGACCTTGGACAAAGTTTTAGAGGGATAGCCGTCTTTTTAACATTACCAACCGTAAATAACATTAAAGCAATGACTAAGCGTCAGAAAAGAGCAAACTAACGTCTCTCATATTTAAATAACCGTTATATGTTGACAGAAGTTACCTAGCAAAAAGCTAAACTAGCTAAACCTGTGAAGGAAACGGAGCCTTACTTTGTCAGAAAGAAGAAAACATGCTTATATTGCTTCTACTTCATCGAGTGTGTTTAGACGCTATAAACGCGTGTCTTTAAAGACAGACATTGCCGTCAAGGTTTAAACGCTAAAATGCTAAAAACCCAGTGTAAAACCATGTAAAACCCGAGGGGTGCAGAGATGTTTCTAGAGCGGTTCAGGAGAGTCGTCACTGCGGGCTGAGCTCTGCGCAGAGCCGGCGCTCAGTTAAAGGAACAGCGTCCTGTTCGCTGGAGCAATCCCATGTATGGCAGTGCCAATATGATGGGAAACAATTCTACAGACAAATCTAAAAAGCTCTATTGAACAGTGAAGTACCATGTATAACAATCTTTATATATACAGAACAGTCTATGATAAAAATACATTAATCTTAAAAATAGAAGAGTATTAGCCTATGTATGCCAGATTATAGCTAAAGCTAATTTCAATCAGCAGTAACAATCAACGAACATTAAAACATTTCCCAGTGCCTATCACACTAACAAGTATGTATAACAGATACAAATTCAGATGTATAAAATACAAATACCAGTACAGAAGTCCTGTCAAATGAAGATCAAATCAAATCAAGTTTTATATAGCACATTTATAAACGATTTTTGGTCGAGCCAAAGTGCTACATATAATAAAAATAGCCTAAAGACACTTTACAGCTAATACAACAGAACAGTTTGTTCAGAATATCAGTATGAGAAAAAACGACATCCTCTATCCTTAGACCCTCACATCGTACAAGGAAAAACTTCCGGAGAAAACCCACAGTTTAAAAGGAAAAAAATGGGAGAAACCTCAGGGAGAGCAACAGAGGAGGGATCCCTCTCCCAGGACGGGCAGATGTGCAATAGATGCCGTGTGTAAATCGAAGAGATAATACATTTTACAGCATAGGTAGGTAGACAGAATGTGTCTGTAATAAGAAGATGAATCCACGAAGATGTCAACTACAATCCTGTGGGAGCCTTCAGGGAAGCAGCATTACGAGACCCAGGCAGGACCGCAGAGACGAAGATGAGGGGATAACAGTCCAACATTCTACGCACTGTCCCTTTGAGCATCAGTTGCTCTTGGTTTTATGGTTTGTCTTGTTGTTGTTTATGATTACACTTGACTGATTGACTTCCTGAACGCCCTGGGGGATCTCCTCATTCGGGGTCAAAGGTCAATGTGTCCTCACAAAACATGTTTTGAGAACTCGATAATTCATATGCAAGTTTTACCAATTTCACACAAACGTCTTTCTATGATGAAGTGATCATTTTTCGGAAAGACATGGATGGGGAACCACAGGGGAAGGTATTTTAGTTTTTGTAATTGCTTCCTTCTCATAAGTCTTTGCCGTCTTAGGAAAGATATTCACACCCAACATATCTGACTCACTGGTGGAATTTGAAAACATTTTACTGCGCAAATTATAGAGTATAGTGGTCTAAAGTAAATGTACTTAAGTGGTACACTTGCATACAATTTTTATTTATTTTTTTGCAACACATTTTTTTTTGTATTTTATAAATGAAACATTATAAAGGTAATAAATCAGTGATATACTGTATAGTAAAGTTCCAGTTGTTATCAGAGCACTATGGGTAGTAAGCCCCGATGGACGGTGATTATGCATACCAAGCGCTTTTGATGCTTTAAGCATATTTCAGGTGGAATTACTTCTGTATTAGAAAATTCTTTTACTTTGAGGGTTTTTTCAACACTTTTGTAGTATTATCCTTCCTCTCAAGATCAGAATCTCCCAGCATTATGTGAATCCAACAAAAAAATAGAAAGGAATATGATGTTGTTGATTGAGATGTGAATTTAGGGACATTTTTAAGTTCACATTAGTTGGGTTTAATGAACACCTGAACTGTTGAAACAACATCCATAACATTCATCTGCTACTTAGTAATTATTTATCTATTCATCTAATATATCATTCCAATAGCTTGCATATAGACTCTTATTTCACTATTTTAAACTATTTTTTGTATTTACTTTTTAATATGTACTTGCACTATATCTTTCAGTTTTTCTGTATTATTGTGTTGCACTGTTGGAGAAGCCTGTGACCTAAGATTTTCATCGACATAACTACTCTGTAGCTATGTTCGTATGACGAATAAAGAACCTTGAATGAAACAACATATACGTGTAGGTGTGAAAGACAGGAATGCTGCGAGGTGAGACCTCCTGCAGGATTACAATGTGTTTGATTTTATGTGGGAGGGTTAGCATCAGTCATAACACTTATCTTAGCTTTGAGTATCAGTACTTCATTATTGTTTTTTGAGAAAACAAATACGATCACTGAAGCGTAACTAGAGCTTTAAGAATAGCTTACGGTATTTGTATTCTTTAATTCATTGAAAGTATTGTAAGAGCAATGTTAAATACAAAAGTATTGTAATTGATTGCAATTTTTCTTTCCTTTTTAACTGTGTGCTTACTTTCGTTTTTTGTACTTGTCTTTTAAATGCACTCTTCCCCATGTTTATTGTTTACCCATGGTGATTTGGTTGTTCTTGCTTTTTAGTTTTGACTGTCTTTCAAATGAAAGTGCACTCTGAAAGTTAATTATTTATTGGTGTTACCTTCTCCTAAAGTCTAGGGGGGAAAGGGAAGTGACAAAATATTAAATAACCCCGGGGAAAAAAGTTGTTCGATAAGTCAAAGCAAAAAGGTCTCAATGCCAAATAGGTGTGTCAGTATAACTCAGTGGTTCTCAAAGTGGGGGGCATGACAGGGGGGGGCGCGAGAGACCAGGAGGAAAAATGGTTATAAAAAAA